GTTTGTGTGTGTTTGTTTGTGTGTGTGTGTTTGTGTGTGTGTGTGTTTGTGTGTGTTTGTTTGTGTGTGTGTGTTTGTGTGTGTTTGTTTGTGTGTGTGTGTTTGTGTGTGTGTGTTTGTTTGTTTGTTTGTGTGTGTGTGTGTGTGTGTGTGTGTGTGTGTGTGTGTGTGTGCGTTGTCAACAATCACGAACCAAATGACCTTTTGTTGGAAGTTCTTCCTTGGATGGCGAAAGAACAAAGCATCAAAAGTTGCTTGCTTGGCAACTTTTGATGCTCGCACACGTATTGTAGAACCAATGCTTGTGTATTTCAGCTCTGTACCTTGTCTAGAAAGATAGGTGTGTGAAGGCATCCAAAGCCGACTAGTGGCGGGTACGGAGGAGAAATAGGTGTCCATAGCTGTCCTCCATAGCTTTCCTCCATGGGCAGATCGTCTAGGACAGAAACGAGGTGACCTTGAGGACGTGGCGAGGGCTGGGGGTGCGATGGAGGGGATAGTACTGGTATCGTGACTGGACGCTGATGGACAGGAGGAGGTATGGGGTTGGTGCCATTGCAATTGTCTGCAATTTATGGCGTCAGTGTGTGACCGGGCAGGCTCTGTCCGTCACGACAGCCATGGGCGTGGTTCGTCTAAACATATAGCTAGTCTGCGGAGTACCTGAGTACACTTGTGTGAGAGTGTGACCGATCAGGCTCTGTCCCTCGTGACAGTCATGGCTGTGGTTCATCTGTACATATAGTTAGTCTGCGTCGGGATCCCTCATGGATGAAGTCTGGCACGACGGGATGCCTTGCGTCGGGATCCCTTACGCACAGCAATTCAACTCCGTCATCAAAGGAGAAGGCGAGAGTCCATGATGAAGAGAGGCACGATTTCGCATCTCACCATACGTTACGACCCCGGCATTTATGGGGGCGTGCAAAGAAGGAAAGGAAAGTTATTTTGGAGGAGGGGGGGGGGTTCATTCCGCCGCCTATGGATCCTAGCGATTTGCTGGAGGAGAGTGGGAGAAACGATGGGAGCGGTTAGTACGTGCCTTTCGTTGCTGCCATTCCGTGAGCTTTGAACTGTGAAGTGATGTCTTCTCCGGCCTCGCCACTCCATGGATCGATTGGAGGCCTTTGCAGAAAGCCGTTGATTCCACTGGATCTCCCTATTAGCTGGTCTTCAATTTCTCATTCTTACCTGGAAATTACTTGGTCCTCACCGGGTCCATTCCTGGTCCTCACCTGGTTCTTACCTGGTCCTTACCTGGTCCTTACCTGGTCCTTACCTTGTCCTTACCTGGTCCTCACCGGGTTCATTCCTGGTCCTTACGCGGTCCTTACCTGGTCCTCACCGTGCTCATTCCTGGTCCTTACCTGGTCCTTACCTGGTAAAGCTATTAATTCCAGCGGATCTCCCTATTAGCTGGTCTTCAATTTCTCATTCTTATCTGGAAATTATTTGGTCCTCACCGGGTTCGTTCCTGGTTCTTACCTGGTCCTTATCTGTTCCTCACCGGGTTCATTCCTGGTCCTTACCTGGTCCTCACCGGGTTCATTCCTGGTCCTTACATGGTCCTCACCGGGTTCATTCCTGGTCCTTACCTGGTCCTTACCTTGTCCTTTGCAGAAAGCCGTTAATTCCAGCGGATCTCCCTATTAGCTGGT